AAGACTTTTCATCTGTTAGCTAGGTGTCTCATCACAAAGTGGAAGCAAAAGAATGTTACATCACTTCCGCTTTCAACATGAAACATGTCGTCATTTTCACACCTGAAAATCATGTAGTGTTTCCATTTTTTTGTCTAACCCCTGTACTTTGGCATTGCCATAGAGCCAAGATCTGCAGTTCATCTAAAAGACATATATATTCTTAACTCACAAAAGTCCCATCTATTGCTCTCAGCCTCCTCCAAATCTCCAGTTATTTTTTTCTTTTTGTAATCTGACTTTTAGAGACGGACTGTGGCTACGTTTATCCTCCATGGTCCCACTGTATGTAGGAATGTAGCCACCCTTCTTTTGCTTGCTCCTGAGATGGACTATGGACTGTGGGATTTGTATTGTGCATACAGAAGAGCACATGATCACAACTAATGTGCACTGCATGTTTCAAAGAAATGGAAATGGAAATGAGGTGGAAAAGGAGAAGGTTCAGAAGCTTTTAGATGACAAAGTATATGTAAACCCTCACCTCATAAAACAATCTATTGAGTTTATAATAGAAATGAAAGGTAAAACATTTGTGTATAGATATAAACAAAATTCTAAATAAATGTTTTCCCTTTTTCTATAAGTGATCACATTCCATCTTTTCTCATAAGGAGTTTAGAGAGCTGGGGGAGGAGAAACAGCAGGACACTGATCTTCCCAGTCATAGGCACAGCAAGGGGGTGGGGTGTGTGCTCATGCCTAGCGTGGCCAGTTTTTAATAGGAAAGCAGAGGGACTGGCAGTAACACCAGAGATTTCACACAAAGGAAGCAATACAAAGAGGCAAAGAGAACAGGAACCTTTTTCATACCAGTACAAGGTACAGGAGGCACATATCAGGAATATGAAATGTTGGGTTGACAAACAACAGCACACTGATCTTCCCAGTGAATGGCTGCACGGGGGTTGGGGTTGCTCTTATGCCTAGTGTGGTCAGTTTTTAATAGGAAAGTTAAGGGACTGACAGGGACACCAGGGATTTCACACAAAGTAAGCAGTACAAAGAGAACAGGATACTTTTTCAAACAAGTACAAGGTACAGCAGACTCATATCATGAATGTTGGGTTGACATAAGCAGCAGGACACTGATCTTCCCAGTGAATGGCTGTGCAGGGAGGGGGGGGGGTGATCTCATGCCTAGTGTGGTCAGTTTTTTTAATAGGAAAGCAGAGGGACTGACAGGAACACCAGGGATTTCACACAAAGAAAGCAATACAAAGAGAACAGTATACTCTATCTTACCAGTACATGGTACAGCAGGCACATATCAGGAATATGAAATGTTGGGTTGACATATTCTTCAAAGAGGCAGAAAAGGACAGTAAGAAATGACTGTATGAAAAAATATATTACATGGCCATTAAATAGTGGTTATGAAAACATTTTTTGGGGGAAAATAAGGTTGTTCAGTGTAACTTTAAGTGTGACACTACTTTGAAGAACACACTTAGATGGTGCATATCCACACAGCCATGAACATCTATGGACAACTTTGACCAAAGCAACAGGCTTCTATTGTATGAGAGCGATCAACTTCATCCATGTCGCCCCTCCCTCCTAGATTGTAAGCTCCAAGGATCAGGGCCCTCCTAACCCTCTTGTATTGAACTGTATTGTTGCTGTATTGTCTCCCTTTATATTGTAAAGCGCTGAGCAAACTGTTGGCGCTATATAAATCCTGTATAATAATCCATGTCACCTCTAAGTCCTCATGCACACGGGACGTTTTGATAACACTGCGAATGTTAGCTGTGTCAAGTCACTTTAAAATGTGAGTTTTTCAGCTTTTTTTAGCGTTTATAGGCGTTTTTCTGCATTTGCATTTTTAAAAAAAAAATGTCAAAACGTTGGTTTGTGGCGTTTTGCTGCGTTTTTCAGCGTTAGAGTGTTTTTACAGCTAAAAAAAACTCCTCTAGAAACCCACTAGTCCTGGGTTTTTTTTTTTTGCAGCCAAAAAGAAATCCCTGCCAAAAAAAAAAAACGTGATTCCAGTCTATGTGTGCATGGACACATAGGATAACATGCTGGGGGGTTTACTGGCTGTAGAAAAAAAACATCAAAAGCAGCCGCTGTAAAAACTTCCAGTGTGCATGAGGACCTAGCACCTTGACTTTATCTAGTATGTGAGCAGTTGGAGAATCACTAATCCACACGAATAACAATTGAGATTTGCTGACACTATAGAATCAGGAAACCCTTCAGCTGAACTAGGTATCCAAAGCACAATACTAATGAAAAGCCAACAAGAAGAAAACACAGCAAACTGCTAATCCAGGACAGCCATGGAAGGAAGCCACTGAAAATCATTCCATGTTATAAAACAACAAAACACACAAATGTATACAGACAGTATAGAAGTATAAAGTCAGCTCATAGATACTATAGTCAGATTCCTACCTTATAATTTCTGACTGATAATGTATGAAGGAAATCCAGGAGACTTGGGGAGTGAGTGAGTGTGCTTGCTCTGGTCGTAGTTTACACTTGTCTATAGTAACCAAGCTTGGATGGGGCCCCAGGTGACTCCCGACTCCCAGCAAGCTGTTCCTATGGATACTGATGCTTCCTACAACTGCCTGCACCAAGAGCCAAGCCAGTGATGGGTATGATAGGCTGGAGGAACACATGACCCCATGCATTGCACTCCGCCATTGCAGTACATGGTGTATAGTGCAATAAAAAGTAATTCTCTAGTATATAGTGTGCATGACAACCGGTAACACTGCACACAAATAAGCAACTATTGCAACAAAAACTCCCAGCATTGCAGTTAGCACCGATAAAAAAAAAAAAAAAAACAACCATCCATCCACCAGACTTTTCTTCTCCGTATCTCCTTCATGCGGCATTCTGCTGCCGGAACAAATTCTTCAAACTTTTTATGCAACCAATAAAATGTCCATTGTTGGCCTTAAGATTACTTAAAGTATAAATGAAGCTGGCCATACATTAGCAGATTTCTGGAGGAAATTTTGTACCAATATTCTGATCAGAACCTTCCATGGTTTAACGAATATCAATGGGAAGTACTCCAAAATTTAGTTTTGGATTTTGGAGCAAATGTAATTCTTCAAAAGAAAACCTGTTCCCCAGCCTGACTGTCTCTGGCCTGCCCCTTTCATTCACTAATCATAGAGGCTTAGCATCACACGTGGGTGGTGTTATGTATTGCAAATACTAAATCCAGCCTGCATTCACCTACCTAAAGTGTTACTAAATCCAGGACCCTGCATTCACTATATCCCCGGACCCCGCATTCACTATATCCGCTCTCCCCGGACCCCGCATTCACTATATCCGGTCTCCCCGGACCCCGCATTCACTATATCCGCTCTCTCCCCCCGGATTCACTATATCCGCTCTCCCCGGCATTCACTATATATCATTCACTATATCCGCTCTCCCCCCGGACCCCGGTCTCCCCGGACCCCGCATTCCCACCGCATTCACTATATCCGCTCTCCCCGGACCCCGCATTCACTATATCCGCTCCGGACCCCGTCTATATCCCTCTCCCCGGACCCCGCATTAACTATATCCGGTCTCCCCAGACCCTGCATTTACTATATCTGGTCTCCCCGGACCCTGCATTCACTATATCTGGTCTCCCCGGACCCCCCACAGTACGCACAACATGGAAATTCAATTATTTTAGTAAATATAAAATGCTAATTAGCTTTTCTCATCAGCAGTTAGAGCAGTCTTGTGACTTCTATCAGTGTTCAGTAGAACACTGGTTGAAGTTTGTAGGAGTTTTCTTTCTGCTCTAGGAGGATGCAGAAACCCCTGACCTCTGTCTGGACAGCGTTGATTCGCCCTGTGCTGATCACATGCACCTTCCAAGTAAAGAAAAAAAAAAAAAAAGCTCTCCAGCAATACAAACTGAGCATGTGCAGAGTGTCTCCACACGATATGTCTTATCAGAAGATAATAGGGGGGCACTGAAAGAAGGGAAGGATCAGAGAAGACAGGATCAAACAGCGTTTTACACAATGCAGAGGATTAACCCCTTAGGTTCCAGGTGAGTATAACAAGCATGTTTTACTGCATATACAGACTGATCTTACTGTTGTGGGTTTAGAAACACATTTAGGCAATTTCAAATTTGCATAACTTCTCCCAAATGACAGTCTAAAAATCCTGCATAAGGGATGAGAGCTCTTGAAAGGCAGGGTGAGGCAGGGTGCTGTAATGTTTTCAGGACTATGCACAGCACCCTGCTAACCCCTTCCACCAGCCATGATCTGCATGCTTTCCATAGAGAGCACAGAGACCCACAGATGATGTCATCATGTCTAAATAAAACAGAAAGGTTTTTATTTAAAGAGGATTCAATTAGGATTCAATATGTAAACTTTTGGCTTACATCACTACAAGATCCAGCATTCCTTATCACAATGGTTCTTAACCACTTGCCTACCAGGCACTTATACCCCCTTATTTACCAGGCCAATTTTCAGCTTTCAGCGCTGCCGCACTTTGATTGACAATTGCGCGGTCATGCAACATTGTACCCATATGAAATTTTGATCATTTTTTTTCTCACAAATAGAGCTTTCTTTTGGTGGTATTTAATCGCCACTGGGCGCTTTACTTTTTGGGCTATAAATAAAAAAAGTGCAAAAAATTTGAAAAAAAAAAAAAAAAAGTTTCTTTGTTTCTATTATAAAATTTTTCAAACAGGCATTTTGTCTCCTTCACTGATGTGCGTTAATGAGGCAGCACTGATGGGCACTGATAGGCGGCACTGATAGGCAGCACTAAAGGGCACTGATAGGCAGTACTAATGAGGTGGCACGGATAGGCGGCACTGATAGACAGCACTAATGAGGTGTCACGGATAGGCAGCACGAATATGCAGCACTGATAGGCGGCACTGATGATGGGTACTGATAGACGGCACTGACTGGCATCACTGCTGGGCACTGACTGGTGGCACTGACTGGCACAACCCCTGGGCACTGACTGGCAGCACTGCTGGGCTGCACTGCTGGGTGGCACTGGTGGGTGGGCAGCACTGGTGGGGGTGGGCACAGGTGGGTGGCACTGGTGGGCAGCACTGGTGTGTGACACTGCAGAGTGGCACAGGTGGGTGCACTGCTGGGCACAGGTGGGCGGAGCTAGTGGGCGCACTGCTGGGCGGAACTTGCGGGCGGCACTGCTGGGCACTGATCATCAGTGCCCTGATGATCGGTGCCGATCCCCGCTCTGACAACTGCCGGTTCTCGGCAGTACATTCCTCACGATCTGACAGCGTGAGGAAAGTGCAGCCGAGAACCGGCACTTGCATTTCCCTCTTTTCAGCATGTCATTGGACACCGCTGATCACGTGGTAAAAGGCCGCTGTGATTGGCATTTTACCACATCACGTGATCAGCTGTGTCCGTAGGACACAGCGATCACGGAGATCGCCGGGTGCGCGCCCCCTGGGGCGCGCAGGAGAGCGCGTTCTGGGAGGACGTCATATGACGTCCACTCAGAACTGGCCGGCTGCAGTGAAGCCGTCATTCGGCTATCTGCGGTCGGCAGGTAGTTAAAGTGACTTTGTATTCACTCCAAAATATCTTAATGGCATTTTCCTGCAATGAAAAGCGTACTATACTCATCTGGTCCAGCACTGCAGCCTCTGTCAGACTCTTCAGTGTTGGACACCTGCGTGGCCCCTGCTTTAAGCTGTGGTTTCATCCTAGGGCCCCTTACATCAATACAGGGCTGAGCCGTGATGTCAGAATTCACAGAGTGCAGTCAAGAAGTGTCACATGGCAAAGAGTGTGAAGGAGGCCACAGTGCTGGAGTAGAGGGGAGATAAGGGACATGATCACATATATATCCTCCTGCGCTCTTATGGTAAGCAGTAAAATAAGCTAGGAAGCAGCCAGCATCTGTCCCATACCAAACAAAGGCAATATGAATAAAATATAAAAGGTGATGCAGCGCTAAAAATACTTAAACCTAAATAAAATACAAAATCAGAATATATAGATAGGTGTTGAGATGACCCAAATCCACCTGGGGATAAGTAGGATGCAATGGCCCTTAATAAACAGATAACAGTGGTTAAGTGCAGGATAAAGTGTCCATAGTTCATAAATCTACAGAGGTGCAAGTGAATCACAGCACACTTCAAAAACGTGATCCCAGGCAGTCTTGCTGCAATGGCCTCTCACCTCCACTCTATGACCCTACAGGGCCACAAAGCATACTGCAGATCACCTCAGAATCCTCCAATTCAGTGACTCTTTAGATATGGTCGGCATCACATGAACAGGGCCAAAATTCCTCCAGACCAGTGGATAAACGGAAACCACTCTCCTCCGATGTCACAACCGCTCATATGCTCATAAATGAGGAGATAAACACAGTCCTCATAGTGTATTACCGCTTTAATTGTAAATGGGCAGCAAATATCCAAACAAGGAAAAAGATAATCCACTTACATGGCAAACAGCTTGTATAAAGATGACAATACTGTGCTAGTTGTACAGCAGGATCAAAAAGGTGCACCAAGATGGCGTCACGCCGGAAGTGCGTCACCACGCTATTGCCGTCCAATAGCGGCAATAGCGTGGTGACGCACTTCCGGCGTGACGCCATCTTGGTGCACCTTTTTGATCCTGCTGTACACCTAGCACAGTATTGTCATCTTTATACAAGCTGTTTGCCATGTAAGTGGATTATCTTTTTCCTTGTTTGGATATTTGCTGCCCATTTACAATTAAAGCGGTAATACACTATGAGGACTGTGTTTATCTCCTCATTTATGAGCATATGAGCGGTTGTGACATCGGAGGAGAGTGGTTTCCGTTTATCCACTGGTCTGGAGGGATTTTTGCCCTGTTCATGTGATGCCGACCATATCTAAAGAGTCACTGAATTGGAGGATTCTGAGGTGATCTGCAGTATGCTTTGTGGCCCTGTAGGGTCATAGAGTGGAGGTGAGAGGCCATTGCAGCAAGACTGCCTGGGATCACGTTTTTGAAGTGTGCTGTGATTCACTTGCACCTCTGTAGATTTATGAACTATGGACACTTTATCCTGCACTTAACCACTGTTATCTGTTTATTAAGGGCCATTGCATCCTACTTATCCCCAGGTGGATTTGGGTCATCTCAACACCTATCTATATATTCTGATTTTGTATTTTATTTAGGTTTAAGTATTTTTAGCGCTGCATCAACTTTTATATTTTTTTAGATAAGGGACATGGTCACCAGAGACGTGAGGATAACGACTCTTCTATTGTGGAACGCAAACTGATTTTTTTCCAGCCACTGGCAGGGTTGCTTTGACCAGCAGTACATGTACCCCACGGGGTTCTTGTGCTTCCACTCCAAAGCTGGCCATACACTAGTAGACTTTTTAACAAATGTTCCTACAACATCCATTAGAAAATTAGATGTGACCAATCCCCCCCGTGGGAGGGCAAAATGTGTCAAGGGGCGTGGGCAGAGCATCCTGTTCATTCTAATTTTATTTCAGGTACTTATATAGCGCAGTCAATTTACGCAGCACTTTACATATATATTGTACATTCACATCAGTCCCTAACCCTCAAGGGGCGTACAATCTAAGGTCCCTAACTTACATTCATACACATACTAGGGACAATTTAGACAGGAGCCAATTAACCTACCAGCATGTCTTTGGAGTGTGGGAGGAAACCGGAGTACCCGGAGGAAACCCACACAGTCACACCAGACCGTTTTGGCCAGGTGGACCAGTGAGTGCCTCAGTCCTAGTCAGGAGCCTTGCGTCCCAGGGGGATCAGGGTTAGGGCCATTTCTTGTCGGAGGAGGGCCAGACACACACCCTGTGCACTTCTTTGTGTGCTTCACTTTTGTGTGCTCGCTTTTTTATTTTGCACCAGGTGCTAGTTTTGTGAGTGTGTTCACTACACCGCGGGACTGAAAAATTTTTTTTTTTTATAAAATATATATATATATAAGATCAGTAAGCTACAATACACAGGGGGCCTTCACCCTCCCCCTCCTATCACACTATTGGATATTTTGCATAATACATTTTTTATGAGGGAACACCTCCAGCCACTTCCTGGTTTCAGGCCTAGGTGACAATGATGTTTTTATTGCCCGCTACCTCCTAGGATACCCATGTCGCATGTCCCAGGAGGCCACGAGGTACTCTACAGTGCACATGCTGTGTCATTGGGGGTTTCCTCATGGCTCTGTTCCCCCCCCCGATGACAGCGCATGTGGCTGCAAGAATCCAGAAGAGACAACCCAACCAAAGAGATGGCCAAGCTGGACCCAGTATGTGGCAATGCAGCACCTCTGGATCTTACCTGGCAGAAAGCCAGCTATAGAAGTGAGGGTGGGGAAGAAGGTCCTCTTTAATGGCACTACAAGTGCCAGCATGCCCTTCCCTCTATCATAGCCCACACCAGTGACCCCCCAGACAGCTGTGACTTCTAGCTGAAGACCAAATACAAGAGAGAACATGCAGGAAACGTCACATATCATTACCAATCTTCTCACCATAGGCGGCGCCATCTTATCCCCGAACCCCCATCATCCCCCTCCTCCTTACTCGGTATACCCCACTAGACCCAGCACCGTGCCGGCTTCTTCCGGGACACGCCCACACAGACTTTTAATGGATGGATTTGAATCGCCTATCCCACAGACTAGCACGGTGATTGGCCGGCATAACGGTGCTGAATGTTATTGGCTGTTGCGGGGTCTCCTAGCAACGCACTGACTCGCGCCCGCTAAGCCGCGCTTCAGCAACACGGGACACGTGATTTCGCAAGGGTCGGTTATGTGATAGGAGGGATGTTACGTCACGTGGCCGTGATGTCATCCAGGTCCTTCTTCTGTAGTGTGACTTCGGCAGGTCCTACAAGGGGTTCGTGAGGGAGTTCAGTTGGTTTCCGGCTCCGTTATGTCCTCGCACCGGGACTGGGCCACTATAGAGGCCTTGAAGAACTCTCCGAAGGGGAGGCTTCGGTACAACCAGCAATGGACTCCAGAGGAGGAGGTGAGGAGACTTATCGCCCCAGAAGAGGCTGGAACCAAGCGCACCTGTCATCGGTCACAGTTATTTGATAGCAACCCCGTGCATTATTATTAGTATTTGTCTGCCTGTGACCTGCTGAGGGTTCACTTCCTGCTTGGGAGACAAAACAGGAAATGAAAAGAAGCCAGGCGAACTCCAACCCTAGAGAGTTGTCACCACCACGTGTGCCCCCATGGGAACATTCCCCCCACCCCTTCCCTTTGTGACAACGCTACAATTCCAGATTTCCGCTTGTTACCTCTCTTGGTGACAGTGGAGGGAAGGGTTCCCCAATTAGAGCACACCTGAGCAGTACACCTTAACAGAGGGCCTAACACCCCCACCCCACCACCACTACTATATTCACATCTAAGAAAACAAAGGTCAGCCCTCATATACACCACTTTACGCCTGGGTTCACACTTCTGTGGTGCGGCATAATCACCTGATTCGCACAGGAACTGCACCATATTCCTGTGCAAATCCCGTGCAGCTTTTGTATGGCTGAAATCGCAGCGTATCTGCACCAAAATAGCATAGGATCGTTTTATTGTCTGCGCTAGAATCGGATCACATGGGTATTCACACCTATGCGATCCGATTCTGTACATCGCACTGCGTTTTGCGGACTGATTTCGGGGTGTTGTTAACATAAACACCCGCAGCACTTCATATGAACGGGTGCGATTATGATGCGGTGCAGAAACCGAATCAGTGTGAACCCAAGCTTCGGCTAGGAAAATCCAATCACTAAAATCTCCTATAAACCAGAAGTGTTATATAATACAACTTGCCAATCATTAGATGTGGTGGCTGCATTAGCTTTCGTTTCTTAGACTGTTTCCCTGTGTTTTCACGTAGTTATCTGCTGCCCAGTAACACCCCTCCTGTATCAGAGTGCCCCCACTCTGGAAGCAAGGGCACAGCAGCATTGACAGTCTGGGGGGAGGAGAGTGTTAGATGGACTAGCAGATTTAGATACACTAACAAATTGAAACCAAACTTCAGCTCGCAGTTTATAAACAGTTACAGAAAATTATTTTTAACCTTTTTAGGATAAAGGTTTTAGATAAAAGCAGATTGATGTAAGCACTCCTTCCAGTGGTGAATGGTTTGTCTCATCTCTCGAACTGCTACACCGGCAGGTCAACTTGTTCTGCTGAAAAACAACAGACTTACTAGCAGAATCTACAAAAGAGAGCACACCAGTCTAGTACATTATCCCACAGCATTTAATAAAAAGCAACATAAAATATAGTCAACAAATGTGACTAAAAACAGCTCATCGAGCTACTTGTCTGTAGCCCAGTAGTCCATGACTCAGAAAGCTCCAGAGTCTGGGGGAATCTCACCAGGATTCTGACAGGCTAACACATTTCAAAGGTTATATCTTCTTCATCAGAGCCTTCAAAAGTGTGATAGGTAGTCAGGGAATGATGTGTAATTTCTGTGTCATGAAAGCCCAAAGGTGCTCCTTGAATATTGGGCCCCTCTATGTGGTTAGGCTGTGAAAACGTCACACATGGTATCTCCTTATTTTGGGGTATAACTACAAGTATGCCAATTCCAGGTGTGAGAAATAACTTGCTAAAATGACAGTTTTGTGGGGGGAAAAAACTAATTTTATTTAATCTTTTTATTTTGCAAAGCATTGTGGGAAAAAAAAATTACAACTTCAAATAAGCCATCATGCCTCTTACTAAATCCCTCGTAATGTGTGCTTTTCAAAAAGGGGTCATTTGTGGGGTGTTTGTACTGTCCTGACATTTTAGGGCCCCAAGAAATGATAAGCTGTAAGTACATCAGGATTGCTCAGTTTTCGTTGGAGCACCGAACTGAAAATTATGGACCGAAACCAAAAAATCAGAATGTACTTGGCTGAAAACCGAAAGAGAGAGTTTTAAAAAATATATATATATTTTTTTTGTATATAATTGTATTCAACTTTTTAATGTCATTCGTTAAATGAATATGAATTTAAAATATACACTCGCCGGCCTCTTTTATTATGTACACCTTGCTAGTGCCAAGAAAATATCCCTCGCACCATTACACCACCAGCCTGAACTGTTGATACAAGGCAGGATGGATCCATGCTTTTATGCTGTTTACGTCAAATTCTGACCCTACCATCTGAATGTCGCAGCAACCAGTCTGCTCATTCTCCTCTGACCTCTGTCATCAACAATGCATTTTCATCCAACAAGGCTTGCCTGCCTCTTCCTCCTCTCTTCCCCCCCCCCCCCCCCCGCCACATTTGGCACTTTTTGGGGGGAGGCGGGTACCTGGCTTCGACAGGGCAAACTGAGCCGAAAATTCAGCACCCCCTCCTCCTTTTCCCCACAGCCCTCTGGGTCACTTCATAGGTCCCAGAAGACTGTGGCCCATTCACACAGCACAGTACGCTTCGGGCATGCGCAGTAGGAAACCAGCTGTGAAGCCGCAACACTTCACTGCCAGTTTCCCTTAGTCAAGATGGCAGCGCCGTCGGCTGGGGGTGAGAACACCACTAGATCCCTGGAAAGGTAAGTGCCCTAATATTAAAATTCAGCAGCTACAGTATTTGTAACTGCTGAATTTTAAATTTTTTTTTGGGGGGGGGCAGGGCAGAACTCCACTTTAAATAGAGGTGTTTTTGCATTGAAGTCATTAGGGAGCAATTTTGCATTAAAGTGAATGGGATGTGATTTTTGCATTGAAGTCAATAGGGGCAAAACCCTGATAACCCTATTTTCGGCCAATAATTTTCGGGAAGCCAATATATCGGTGTATCACTAATTTTCATATATATGTACCATAGCTTGTAGACGCTGTAACGTTCACACTGGCCAAATAATATGCACTGGTTTTGTTTTTTTACTAAGGAAATGTAGCAGATTAAATTGTGTCCTTAATTTAAGAAGGACGATTATTTATTTGCAAAATTTTTTACAGAAGCAAAGAAAACCACTTTTTTTTCAAAATTTGTCTTTTTTTAAAAAGATTTTTCATAAGGCAAAAGTAAAAAAAAAACCCAGTGGTGATTAAATTCAACTAAAAAGAAAGCTCGATTTATCTCAAATTTCCAATGATACAAATTTCATATGTGTACAGTGTTGCATGACTGAGCTATTGTCATTCAATCTGCTATAGTGCTGAAAGCTGAAAATTGGCCTGGGCAGCAAAGGGGTGAAAGTGTCTGGTATTGAAGTGACTAATCTAGGGAGTTGTAAAATAGAGGAATATTTGCCTTGTTCCTCACTCCCCCACCAGCTGCATTTTTTTTTTTTTTTTTACGATCCACTTGAGTCCCTAAATGTGGTCAAGCCCTTGACACCCATGCTTAGAATGTAAGATCGCTGGTCCTACATTGCACCTGATGATGTCAGCGTGAAAGAGGTACAGGGGTGTGCAAATATTTGAAAAAACTGCTTGTCCAGGGACTAAATTGGTGTCCCAATCTATTTGTCCTGATAAAAAAAAAAAAACTTTTTTTTGACCAAAACCGTATTTAACCATTTCAATGCTGGGCAACTTTACACCTTCCTGCCCAGGCCACATTGTACTACTTTGGAGAAGTGATCAGTATATATATATATATTTTTTTTTTTACACAATTTGCTTATAGCAAAGAATTACTTTGCTATAAGCAAGCATTTACCTGAATGAAATCGATTCATTCAGGTTTTTTTTTTTTTTTTTGTGCTTAGCTGTGATTTGGCCACAGCTAATCACATGATGTGCATGTGACCTGCTGTGACCATTCACAGCTAGGCACTAGTATACAATGGATGGCATGAATAAAGCCATCCATTGTATACAACTGTCATGTGACCTGCTGTGATTTTTCACAGCAGGTCACATGGTACCGGCAACAGATACTCAGATCTGTCATCGGCCGTGTCCGAGGTACACGGCCGGTGATAGATCGCGCCACTGCACGGCTCTGCAACCGCGTGAACTGCGCATGTGTGGGAGGACGCCAAATGGCGTATACCCCGGAAATCTGCAGCACTTTTGCGGCCGCCAAACGGCTATAGGCTGGGCGGCTAATGGTTAAGGCTGGGTTCACACGTGTGGTACTTCACATGTGATTCACACAGGAACCGCACCTCATTCCTGTGCAAATCACATGTGATTTGTGTGCGGTGCGATTGGAGCCATACATTTTGTATGGCTCCAATCACACCGCATCCACACCAGAAAGGTGCAGGACCATTTTTTGGGTCCGCACTATAATCGAATCGCATGGTTGTTCACACCTATGTGATCCGATAATGCACCGCATTTTGCGGGCCGATTTCGGGTTGTTGTTAACTTAACATACACACCCGCAGCGGTTCTCATGAATGGGGTGCGATTCTGATGCGGTGCGGAATTCGCACAGAAAACACTGTGAGTTCCGCACCGCATCGGTGAGAACCCAGCCTAAAGCGGAGGTGCTTTATGGAATGTCTGAAACTTTGAAAAATGAAATGGGCTTTATGGCGACTTAAACATTTTAATATTTTTAACATTGCGCTGTTTATCTCCTTCTCCCCTCCCTGCCCATCTCCAGCACCGCACCTGGGGACTAGCAGGGAGGGGAGAGACCTTGCAGTGTAATGAGCACCGATTGCGTGCTTGTCAGGAAAGGGGAGTGTCCGGCTTATCCTTTATCCCTTTCGCTGCCAGAGCCATTTTTGCATTTTTTGCACATGGTTAAAAAATCATTTAAGGCCTGAAGATTATACAAAATTCCAAGACGATATATTTTTGAAATCAGAGACCCTAGAGAATAAAATAGTGGTAGTTCCAATTTTTTATGTCGCACGATATCACAAATTTTTGTAAAGTAAAAGAGACAAGGTTGCAGCGAGCAAATAGATATCCAACATATCAAACCCTAAATTTGCGCGAGCTTGTGAAACGGCAACAAACTTTAGTACCCTATATTTTCTATAGATGAAGCATGTAAAGCCCCTTCATCAGTATAGTGTTACAGAGGAGGTCGGGTGCTAGAG